ATAGATTCAATAAAGTTACCAGTTTTTCAGTGCCATAAAAAAGCAGCAAAACTTTAAATTAACACACAAGGTTTAAAGCATTTCAGGAAAGCATTGATTATATCTGCCAATGGAATGAGTGCATTTGGCAAATGACCTAATTATCCCAGAGTTGGTTCTTTCTCACTGCTCTGCTTCCCACTAATTGCAGAACTGCTGGCCTTCTCCCCCTGACAAGGAAGAAAAACAAGGACAGGGGTGTGTGGAGAAAACAGTGACATTCAGTTTTAATTCATTTGAACCTGCTGCCAAGCTTAATTATGTAATTGAGAGAGTGAGATGGGTGGGCTTGCAGCCACTGGGGCCGGAGTTTCTGATGGTTAGCATGGCGGGTGTTTTGTTGAGGATTTTAGCAGCTCCCACAAAGCATTATTAGCTGGGGCTGAACTAATCTCCCTACTCGGCCCCTCACCAGATGAAGTTACAGAGGTTGCCGTATCCAGATTAGATTATTTGTCATTAAGGAAAGCAAATTGAGACCAAATTAAAGTGGCTTTAGTCCTTGCTAAAGGCACCATTATTTATAGGGGGCAGTCTCATGTTTCATTTTGTTTTCTTCGGATAGTGAGGCAGTGTCTGCTGTCACGTAAAATTCAGAGATGCAATGGTTGTTTCTAGAAGGGGAGCATTTTTCAAAGTGGCTTGAGACATTTTTACTCAACTTTCATTTAACTAGTGAAAGTAACTATGTATGAAAAACATACAACTCCGTGAAAAAGTTCCCATTTGGTCGCTGGTCGTTCATATATAATTTCGTTTATGAAACCTTTGCTCCTTTTGGCATGGAGCCATCAGAACAGTTTTTTGTACGAAGTGGCCACTCTCTCCTTGCACGAAAGATGGCTTTTTAGAGGTACACTTTTCACAAAATTTAGCCATAAATTCCCTGATTCAGAGAATGCTTGGGGTGTCTCATGTCCTCACAGAAATTCCCTCTGTTTGCATTGGAGTTCGGCCCTGGAGGTCAGCATCTTGATTTTGTAATATCCTGTGCAATGTGTGGGGGTGGAGAGGAGGGAGGACGCCGGAGAGAAGGAGCCGCACTAGAGCAAAGGACGGGAGCCGGGAAATACGGGCTGCCTGGCTGGGCGGCAGCACGGCCGGCATAGAACCTGGACTACCTAGGTTTACAGCGTCCTTTATGGTCAAAACTATTAATAAATATGTTTATTCGCTAATCCCTATAGTAGTTCTATGAAGTAGGTTAGTATCTTTTAAATGTGCTTCAATATATTTTGAAAACTACTCCGTAAGCACAGGCTTTGTGTTGGGTGAGGTGCCAGTAACTGGGGCTGTGCAAAGAATCCCTGGTAACCGAGGGTGCTCTTTTTTTTTTTTTTCTTTCCAGTTACAGTGGGAAAAGGGGAGGGTCCCTCTCTCAGCAAAGGACCAGTACTTTCAGATCTATTCTGTGTCCTCCCATCCCTTTACCTCCTCAGAAATATTACTCTATAAATTATCTCCTTTTCGTTTTGGAGCTTTGGTCTTTTCTGCTTCATATCAATATTAAAAACTGCCAGGAACGGTAGCTGTCCTATAGAAGGTGGTCAATAAATATCTATTGAATAACTTAAATGAATGCTCAGTGGTTCTCTACCCCAGCTACACAAGGAATCAGGGAATACACCACACACACACACACACACTCACACACACACACACACACTCACTCACACTCCTACCTTAAAGCCAGCAAGCAAAATCAATTCAATTGACCTCATACCCCTTGCTAGCTAAATCTGTCTCTTAATTCTCTCTTACGACCAAGATAACTGCAGAGTGACTTGTAGACCCTTCTACTCATCTTTCTTGTACATGTCAAGGACTTTAGCAGGCTTCAATGCTCACCACTTGCCTGAAGCAAGTCCTGATAATGACCTCCATGTTTCTGAACAGGCTGGGCATAGTCAGACTCTCTCCTTCTCACCATCTCCGGAGCATTGGTCACAGTTGATTTCTCCTTCCTTGGAATATGTTCTTAGCTTGGTTTTAAGACATCCTATTTCTTTTTCATTCCTTCTTCCTCTCTGATGGTCCTTCAGCTTTTTTTTTTTTTTTTTTTTGCAATTTCATTTCTTAGGTGATGCTAAATGCTGAAGTTGTTTGAGTTCCCAACCTGGGTGCCTTTGGGTACTTACCCTGGGCATTTTTGTCTGTTTCCATCTCTATAAATAACGCTGATCTGCTGTTGCTCTCCTAATTTATATTTCCAATTCCATCCCCTTTTCTGAACAGCAGCCTAATATATCCAACTGCTACTTGACATTTCTGCTTTGATGTCTCACGGGCACTTCAGACGCAACATATCTCAAACCAATATTTTAATTTTCCTTCTCCCCCTCTTGGATCCTCCTACAATCTCCCCATTTCTGTAAATCATATCTCCACTCACCCAGTAGCTTATGGCAACGTATTCCCAGTAGTAATCTGTGGCTATGTCTTCCTTCCCCTCAACCCAATCAATCCTTCACCAAGCCCTATTAACTCTGCCTTCGAAATATAACTCACACCATTCATTTCACCCCATTCATTACTTGCCAGCTGTCATTCCTCTACAGTGCTGCAGGAGCCCCTAAGTCAACCCCTTGGTCCCCCTTTGCCTGCTCACCTCCCCCACAACAATTCAGTCTTCAACCTGGGTGATAGTTTTAAACATACAGACCATTTCACCCACTGCGTCCTTCAAACATTCAATAATGAACAGTCAGTAGTTAGGTTCTATATAGTATGCTCTTATTTCTTGCAAAGAAGACGTGCCATTTTGTAATTGCAGGTCCATTTGGTTCTTGTCCATTCCCAACTCAACTATAAGTTGCTGAAGAGCAGACACTGAGGGCATTTTTCCCCACATCATGTCCCCTGTGCTTCACAGAGTGCCTGCCATAGCATTTCGTCAGCAAATGAACAAATGCGCCCTTGAATGGGTGGGGAAGATTGACCGAAGGATTAGGTGGAAGGAGGTGCTCGTCCAGCTCTCACTGAGAGCTCTCAGTAGAACACCACCACTCCGTGAACAAATGGACTCATTCAATGAGCTTGCTTGAAGCTTCTTATGGAATTGTTTTATTCTGTCTTCACTTCCAAATTCAAGGAATTTTCAAAAATTGAGTCTCTGCCTAGGATGCTTCAGAGCCTAGTAGAAATAGTTTATGCAGTGGGATTATAAAGCATTTCCTTGTATGGTGTAATTGAAAGGGCAGATGCAGACTTGGCTTCAAATCCTGGATCTGTCCATTGAGCGGCTTGTGATCCAGGTCACAGTTTCTTCATGTGTAGAATGTGCTTGAGACCAGTCGTGCAGGAAGTTAGTGTGACTTCACCAAGCGTCAGTATATCAACCACCCGGGAAAACAGCTGGCACATGGGAGATAATGTCCAAATTTTAGTTTTGCTTTCCTCTCCCTCCCCCAATTCTACCTCATTCGAGTATTCCTATGTCTTCTTTCTGTTTTTTTTCTCTTCTTAGTGGGTGGTGATACTCATATTACCCACATAGTTTGAGAGTATTGTGGGAAGAGAAGAATTAGCAGTACTTACAGAACAGACTTCCTCTTGGATTAGAAATACAAACTTCACAGCTTCTCTGCTCAGCTTTCAAGAGCATTTCATGGTACACTGCTGTGTAACAAGTTCATTTTAGGATAACATGCTGGGAGGGAGAAAAAGAAGATGAGATTCGAGGGGAGAAAATTAAAAAGTTAATTAAAAGAAACAACTTGGTAATTGAATTCCCTTGCACTTTTCTTTGGTTATTTTGGGGCGGGGGGCAGTGTCACAGTACATGGTTAGTAGGTTTGCTTCAGTGGCTCACCTTGAAACTTCTAAATGAGACAGGCGTGAAAACACAGATAAATCTCAGCCTGACGGATGAGAAGAGGTGGAGGATACATAAGATGGGCTTTTTAGGCATGCCAACCGAAGCAGTCCTCATATGCATACTTGAGCACTCATATTTTGAAGTATTCTTGGCAGTTGACGTTGTTTAGCTAAGCCCTGGACTAATATCAGCTAGCAAAGGGCATGCAAAATTGCCTTGTCATTGATTCTGCTTTGCTGGCTGTGCCTTTGGCTTCACCATATACACACATCTTCCACATAAAAGCATACAACCAGAAAGAGATAAATGACATAGTTCTTTTTTTTTTTTCCAAAAGAAAACTTGAATATTTATCTATTTAATCATTCCATCACAGATCACATAAGAGCCAGAACAGTTTAGTTTTAGATAGTATCATCGTTGAAAGAGACAAGGTCCAATATGAAGGAACACAGTTATCAAATAGAACTAGGTTCAAATTCTAACTTTCACCCACAACCTTTATTTATTCATTCATGTTATTTATTCAGGCAACATGTGTTTATTGAATCCTACTGTGTGCCAGGCACCTTTTCAGTTGTTCTTGATAAACTTATGCAAGTTTTTGTCATGGCTTTTATTAACATGCATGTATCGACGTTCTGAAGTTTTCAAAATCAACTTAGACTTTTCTGTATATTCCAGCTTGTTGAGCTCCTCAGTTTTATAGCGAATCAATGGCAATGGGGAACCAGGGGCCTTGGGGCCACACGTGGCCTTCTGGATCCATGAGTGTAGCCTTTTGACAGAATCTAAATTTCACAGAACAAATCCCTTTTCTTTTTCTTTTCTTTTATTTTATTTGCAGGTTTTTTTTTGTTTGTTTGTTTGTTTTGTTTTGTTTTTTGCCGGGGCTTGGTTTGAACCCACCACCTCCAGCGTATGGGGCCAGTGTTCTACCCTTTTGAGCCATAGGCACCACCCCCTTTTCTTTTTAATAAAGGGATTTTTTGTGTGTATGAAGTTTGGATTTGGTCAAGGGGTTGCACTTGGGGATCTGGAGGGCCCCTTGAGGCCACAGTTCCCCCCCCCCGAAGCTGCATTTTATCAGTAGGATAGAGATACAGCATTTTAAGTACTAACAAGGGGTTTTGTATTTTCACAGGTTATGGTTTTGTAGATTTTGACAGTCCCGCAGCTGCTCAAAAAGCAGTAGCATCTCTAAAGGCAAATGGCGTGCAAGCACAGATGGCCAAGGTAAGATCCATGTCCAGATTTGATTGTGTGTGTGTGTGTGTGTGTGTGTGTATGAGAGAGAGAGATCAAAAATTTCTCCTTTGCTGTGACCTGACTGAGAAGTGGGATTTAAAACAATTTGGTTTGTATTTACTAGTTAGTGAAAGCAAGACACTCATTCCACAATAGATTTGGCTGGGAAGAATCTGTCTGATTTACTTCATGGCTTCTTTGTATATGTTTATTGATGTACTCTTGATATGGTATCCTCCTTAGTGATTTAAGGACCCTTACGAAGTCCTTTGTTCTGTATGAGGAAGTAGGGGTGTGTCTATGTATGTATATGTGTTTGGATCTTTTATGGTAAACAGAGTTTTGGAGTAGTAGAGTTATCAGCAAATTGTCTTTGATAAATTGTGTACTAAAAAAATCGTTCATTGTCATACTGAGGAGAACTGATTGTTGAATGATAGAGATGTCTGATCTTTGCCAGGAAGTGAGTTTAAATGAAGTGTACCTTGTCTATATTGCTAGAATTTCACTTTGGCCTTCATATAGAGCATTTTCCTAAATAGTAATTTCCTAGATATTGGTAACTTTCAATAATTTGTTATTTTATGTAGAATAAGTAGCATCAAACCTTCTGTCTGGAATTATAATGCATTTTTATATCTAAGAAAATAAATGGACTCGCTTATAATAGTTTTGTGTCCTAATTGTGGGGGTGGTGATAAGAATATACATGTGATGAAGTGATATAGAACTATATACATATATTGTACCAGAGTGAATTTCCTGGTTATGATATTGTCCCGTATTCATGCTAGATGTAACCCTCCGAAAAACAGGATGAAGGGTCCTTGGATTTCTTTCTGTATTGTCTTTGCAACTTCCTATAAATCTACAATTGTTTATAATAAAAAGTTTAAAAAATTATATATAACTTTTGGCTTCTTGGTAGATATTTACTTCAAAATAATGTTCACTTTGGATTTTTTCATATGAAACCTGTTTTCAAGTATTTTTTTTTTCTGATTAATACATGTAGTACTGAAATTGTGTATCTCCAGATTCTCAAAATTTTAGGTATAATAGTGAACAGAACTTGAGACCCTGATGTCATGGATCTATGCTATATTCATGGATACACTTACAGTTAACTATTCCCAGAAGAGCTGACTGATACAATGATAAACTAATCAAATTTTCAGTCACTTAAATTTTGTTATGATGGCTAACATTCTCTGATAGTGATTTTCGATTCTAGCCTGAGAGAACAACAGTTAGAATATTTTCTTCTTTCATCCTCAGAAGTCTTGTGGCAAGCCGATATACCCTGGATCTGTTACCCATTTTTGCGAGTCATTTCCCATACAGATTACTTTGGTGGGCTCATTGTCCTTTATAACATGCGAATTGTTATTCAAGGCAGTATAAATTAGAATTTGAATTCTTTCATCTGTGTAATTTATTCCTCGTCAGGATTATGCCTGGAAGCTTTGGATTTGGTCATGAACTAAGATTGATGAAGTTAATATTTTTAATTAATAAGGAAATTATGTGCATGTCTTGGTTTAAAGGTCACTTGGCAAAGAGTCAATAGCAATTTATGAAACAACTTCCTGTACCCAGAAAAACAAATGATAAAATATAGCTGTTAGGTAATGAAAAGTATGTAACTTGAATTTGGACTGAAAGCAATGCCAGCTGGCAATCAAATTATTAGAAAAATGCTTATGAAAAATTGATATTGGAATATATTTCATCTATTCTATTGGTAAACTCCTGAATTTTAGAAGTTACTAGATTTTACCAGTTTAGAAATAATCTCTATTGTTTTAAATGTTCTCAGAAAATATGTTGCGTTAGTTGGATAAAAACCACCACTAGTACCTTGTAGTTCAACAGTGAAACGAAGTTGACATTGCTTTTATAACTTCTAAGAAACTATTATGAATAGTTTCCCTCTGTTATCTTTTTCTGGACCTACTGGTATGTACAAGGAATCTCTCAGTTTCTCTCTGTCTCTGTCTCTCTCTCTCTCTCTCACACACATACACACACATACACACACACACTATACACACTCTAATCACTTAGTCAGGAGACTATCAAAGGGGAAATATTTTAAAGAGCTTCCAAAATGATTATTCTTTGTAGCTGGCATGCTGGCTGTTGGTCCACCCCAGGGAACACAGTAAGGGGGTTTCAGTTGGAATGTTTAAAGTCATTTTTATTTCTGTACTTGCTCAAAGATTTCTACCTTCTCAGTTGTGCTGCCTATGAAGTAAAGTCTTATTTTCTTTTTCTCGTAAAGTTTGAATTTAAAGCCTAGATCTTTAGATTACATCTGCCTACTGGAAAACTTTCAGCAGTATATGACTGTAATTTAACTATCCAGAAAAAAATAAACAGCCTCACTCTGACGATGGAATGGGACAAGATTGACCACCTGTATTAGCAGATTTCTCACGGAGCTATTGGGTTTTGTAGAAATTTTCCATTGTCCTGGTGATAACTATTATTTATTATCATATAAACCTGCAGTCTACAGGGTGTGTAAAACTTGCACTATATTTTTTGCTATTTAAGTAGCTACAGAATCACCTCCTGTGTCCTTGTTCTTATCAATATTCTACTATGCAGGTTGTGGTGTCACATTTTAATGACTCTAGGATTTTAAAATAAAAATGCTACAAATAATCTAGGTTCCCAATAGCAACCTGGAGCTAACACGAAACTCTCTGTGTGAATAGCTTTATTTAGCTAACTTATTTCAATGTGTGCACATGAAACATCCAACTCATTTTTCAACTAAAAGGAATTAAATAACAAATCATCCAGGAAGTAGTAATTGATGAATAATGAATAACCATTAACACAGACAAACATTATCTGTATACTTGCCAGTCTGCCAAAAAGGGTTTTTCAGGATCAAAGGATATGTTTCTTTTAGGACAACAGATTTTAATATTTTAATAATACATAGTGGTTAAGTGCATAGGTTTGGGGAGAGATGAACTTGGCCTCGAATCCTGGCTCTGGTACCACCTGCCTGTGTGACCTTGGCTAAGTAATTTAAATAGCTCTGAAACTCTCTAATAATAACCATTAGGTTACAGGATTGACATGAGAATTTTTAAAAAATGCATGAAAAGTTGAGCTCAGTGCCTAGATTATAGTAAAAATTCCATGAATGTTAATTATTCAATTAATGTCATTATGTATTAAAATCAAATTTGCCACTAAACCCACTATAAGTTCTAACAGAACTTGGCTTCTATCCACAGCGAATCCAGGAAAAGAACAGAACTCTACACCCTCTAACAGAACTTATGGAGGGTTCTGTGTTCTATCAAATTAGTTTCTTGAAAATATATAGTAAGTAACATCAGTAAGCAAACATTTTTATTGACTACTATCTGCCAAGCACTGAACTTGGTATTAGAAAATCAAAACTGAATAAAATCTCCTTTTTATTCTAAATTTTTAACATTCATTCTATCTCCCAGATTCTTACCAACTTTAAGGTATACAAAAGAAAGTTATTGGCCAGGAAATATGTGTCTCTGTAAACATGACAAAAAGAAGAGGTAAAGAAAACTCAGCTGACAATAGCTTTGCTTAGGTACTTATTTCACTGGTGTATAAAAAGGCCCCAGAAAGCCAGTGAAGGCCAAATGCTTTGGGGTGGTATCAGGGACCCGGGGTGCCCTGCTGTCCTTTATCTGCGGCTTTTCTGCCATACATTTATAATGTGGCTTCTATCCACAGTGAATCCAGGAAAAGAGAAAAGAGCCAATGGCTGAAGGAGCAGTGTGGTTGGTCTTGTCCTTTTAAAGGCTTTTCTACAATACCAGCTCAGCAACTTATGCTCACAGCAACTTATGCTCACAGGGTTTTCCTCTTTGCTGCAGGAGAACATGGGATAATGAGTATTTTGGCTTTTTTTTTTTTTTTTTTTGCCTCTATTGTCGAAAAAATTCAGAATAGTTTACACCCTTGGCTATCCAGCCCCCATGACACCATTATTCTCATATGTATGCCTTATGTGACATGTATTAATTCCTTCCCCAGGGGAGCCACTTCAGTGCTTTATCCTGTTTTCAAATCTGTTGATGTCAGAGTCTCCATCAGGCCCTGGCTGCTCCTCATAGCTACGTAACCCATGACTTTAAAAGATCATTTATCTGTCTGAACTTCTACAGTATATAATGGTAAAGAAGCAACAGTATGCATACAAACAAAGAAAAACTACTATTTAGGAAGGGAAAGAATGGGAAACAAACATTAATCACTGATCTCCAATACATATCAAATCCTGCCAGGCTGGAACGGGAATTCTTGCTTTGACAGTGCATTAAGTAACCCCCACGTCTGCCATTCAGAGGATCTTACGTCCCCCTTATTCCCTATGGCCTCAATAAAGCCTTGCTGGAGCGGCTGTTCACATCTGAAAACAGCCTTTCCTGGATATAAATTTAAAGACTTTAGAAAGGCTCTACATATTAAATAGTCACCAGTTACTATCCAGCCGAGTTTTGCATTATCTTAAGCTTAACCTGGGCTTTTTTTTATTTGCTTTCTGTCAATTCCAAACATGAGTAAACATAATATATCTGATTGCAGATGAAAGGTCTGTATAAAAGAAGTTACCTCCTTTCAGGGCCTTTCGATGAGGTTTCAGCATGTCTACTACCGGGACTGCCATGACAGTTCCTAAAGGTGATTCACTTCATGGTGGGATATGAAGAATAAATCAAAGTTGAGTGCTAACAAAAGATACCAAGCATCCAAGGGGATGCCAAGTGCTATGACAGGAATAATATAAAAATATTGTCTCTGCCATGGCAGAGAACTAGATTAGGACCAGAGGAAAGGAATTCTCTCCTATACATCAATGACCTTGACAGTGGTTCTCTTAAAAAAGAAAAAAGCAAAATGAGCAGATCTTTTAAATTAAAATACGAAATGAAAAGTGAAAGTTAATGAATATAAGAAGGCAAATGCTTTAAATTCAA